GTGGTCTCGTAAGTACCCTGGTCCTGAGCAATGGAGTGCTCTAAAGGTGGTAACCAAAACCTTGAAGCGCACCCGGAAGACCACTGGGAGCCAGTGCAGCTCACGCAGGAGGGGGGTCACATGGGAGTGCCACGTCGCTCCCGTCACCACACGCGCGGCCGCATTCTGGACCAGTTGGAGCCTCCGGGTGCTCCTCAAGGGGAGCCCCATGTAGAGAGCATTGCAATAATCCAGGCGTGAGGTGACAAGGGCATGAGTGACCGTGCGTAACGAGTCCCGATCCAGAAAGGGACGCAACTAGCGAATCAGGCGAACCTGATAAAAAGCCTTCAGGTGCTTTGGAGAATAATTTGACCCCCTCCTGTTTGTGGCCTCTCAAATACTGGAATATTGCTATCATGCCCCCCAAGTGCTTCTTTTCTCTAGACTAGCCAAACCCAAATCCTGCAACCATTCTTCATACTCCAGTCATATTCCAAGACTGAGTGGCTGTGGATGCTGGCATCCCGAGTTCTAGAGGTCCCGTCACTTTTGATGGTGGGGGGGAGAGGTACTTGCCCCCGTTGAAAGGACCCGCAACTTGGGTGTCCTCCTGGATTCCTGGCTGTCCCTAGAAGACCATTTGACAGCCGTGACCAGGGGGGCTTTCACACAAGTGCGCCTGGTGCACCAGTTGCGCCCTTTTCTAGACCGTGATGCCCTTTGCATGGTCACTCATGCCCTGGTTACCTACCGCTTGGATTACTGCAACTCCCTCTACATGGGGCTGCCCTTGAGGTGCACCCGGAGGCTCCAGCTGGTCCAGAATACGGCCACGCGGGTTGTTGTTTTTTTTTTGCTTTTAATTTATATGCCACCCTTCTCCGAAGACTCAGGGCGGCTTACAATGCGTTAAGCAATAGCCTTCATACTTTTGTATATTTATACAAAGTCATCTTATTGCCCCCACAATCTGGGTCCTCATTTCACCTACCTTAGAAAGGATGGAAGGCTAAGTCAACCTTGAGCCTGGTGGGATTTGAACTTGCAGTAATTGCAAGCAGCAGATGTTAATAACAGTGTATTAGTCCACTGTGCTACCAAGGTACCAAGGGTTGTTATGGGAGCTCCTCGTTACTCCAGTGTAACATCTCTCCTGCGCGAGCTGCACTGGTTACCGGTGGTCCTCCGGATCCGCTTCAAGGTGCTGGTATTGACCTATAAAGCCCTACATGGCTTAAGTCCAGGGTATTTGCAGGACCATCTCCTGCCTGCTTCCCACCGTCCTGTCTGTTCCCATAGGGTTGCTCTCCTCAGGGTACCGTTGACCAGGCAATGCCGTCTGGTGACGTCCAGGGGTAGGACATTCTCCGTGGGTGCCCCTACCTACCCTCTGGAATGAACTACCCACCGAGCTCCGGACAGCCCTGGATATCCGTTCCTTCCGTCGAGGCCTGAAGACTTGATTATTCCAACGAATGGGCTGATTCTGATCCATGGGTTTTTATTATTGATTATTTTACTCTGGTTTTAGTGGGTTTTTATCATTATATGTTTTTAATCTGTGTTCGCCGCCCTGAGTCCTTCGGGAGAAGGGCGGCGTATAAATTCTGTAAAAATAAATAAATAAATATGTTTTAGTTTCCAGTTTTCTAGTTTAGTTTAATAGTTGCTCTTCTTTGCACTTTTTTGAAAGTCTCAACATCTTTTTTTTAATGTGGTGACCAAAACTGGATGCAGTATTCTAGGTGTGGTCTTACTAAGACTTTATAAAGGCTTAGTAATAAGCCTTAGTGCAAGGAATGAAGGAGGTCATGTTTAATATATAGTAAAGTCAACTAGAAAAGACCACAATGACAGTATTAAAAGGTTTCAGCCACAATGTGGATAAAAGTATTTTGCTTTTGAGTCTCTAATTTTGTATCCTGGCTTAATTTGAGGCAGTGGTTCTTGATTTCTTAGACCAGAATATTGCTGCTTTTGTATACAGGTAGTCCCCTACTTATGACCACAATTGAGCCCAAAATTTGTTTTTAAGTGAGCTATTTGTTAAGTGAGTTTTGCCCCATTTTATGACCTGTCTTGCCTCAGTTGTTAAGTGAATCACTGCAGTTGATAAGTTAGTAACTGTTAGTAAGTTGTTAAGTGAATTCTGGCTTCCCCATTGACTTTGTTTGTCAGAAAGTCACAAAAGGAGTATCACATGACCTTGGGATACAGTAATGGTGATAAGTATGACCCAGTTGCCAAGTGTATGAATTTTGATCATGTGACCATGGGGATGATGCAAAGGTTGTAAGTGTGAAAAGCGGTCATAAGTCACTTTTTCCAGTGCTGTTATAACTTTGAATGGTCACTAAACGAACTGTTGTAAGTGGAGGACTACCTGTACTATGTTTTGTTTTTCAGAAGTCTTAGAAAGCTGGAAAACATGTAGAAAAGCATTGCAGAGAAGCATTGCACAGATTCAAGCATCCCTATGAGGTTGGAAGCACTGGAGAAGCATGTATAGAACCCTTAGAAGCCGTAACATCATACCTAACACATTTGTTCCACTCCATATTTCTCATGGTAGGAAAAAATTATGAGTACCAAGTTATGCTTCAGATTCCTAAACAGATTCCAATGAAAAAGAATATTTGTAGCTCAGGGTTGAAATGAGGGTTCCTTGGTGCTCTCTGAGCTTGGTTGTTTTCTTGTAGATGGTTCATTACCCAAACTAGGTAACATCATCAGTGCTAGTGACTAGCAATGTCTTAAACTAAATTCACCGGATATGCAACAACCTCTGAAGCAGGCCAGATATCAACTTAAATGCCTTTGAAGCTTCACTAGTCCAGAGATTTGTAGGATAATTTGATTCACATTTCATTGCATGTCCCCTATACAGTCCCCTCTTAAATTAATAACCATATCAGATCTCCATATTTTCAGAGCCCTGGACTACAAATATAGGAATACGATAGTGTATTACAGTTGAGTAAGCCTATTAATATTTAAATTTTATTTATATATTTTGAATTTTATATAGTTGCCCAAGGTAATTTATAATGAAACATTAAAAAGCCGCTGGAGACCCAAGAGCAGAATCGAACGACAGTTCAGCTAAGAAGCGGAAGAAAAAAATCAGAATGAAAACTAAGTGAACCAGAAAAGTCATAGGAGCCTGCTTTAAACATTCGACTTTCTGTCCATGGATGGACTTGAGCTCACAGGAGGACAAGGCACATTGCTAAGAACAACAGACACAATACACATCCAGAATTTTAAAAAATACCACTGTTCAATTAAAATTACATTAGAAGTTCATACGCAGCCAATTAATAGTAACTACTCTGCCTATGTTGCTTTTTCCAAAATGGAATAAGATTGCTTCAGAGGAAGATAATCATAGTAAGCCAGCTTAAAACTGGGATGTAACAGACATTAGAGAATGCTGTCATAGGAAACAACCACTTCATTGGTTCTAATCATGTGGCAGAGTTGCTTCACATATAACAATCAGGCAAAGCAGCACAGGAACATGGGAGCAGCAGATTCCAATCCTGTTGTCAGCAGGAGATGAATTACCTTCAGAGAAGAAATGAAAATGTGGGAAGAGGTCGGGTTTTTTTTCTTTTTAAGAAGGATTAACTTTCATAGCTTCATTGCTTTCCCCTTTGTCCTTTAGCAAAAGAGAAACTGATGTGAATGTGAAGACAGTAAGCTGTGTGCCTAAGGATTTTGAAGCAAATTTTTCATGGTAAAAATGTAGCCTTTAATGAGCTGCAATTTTTCATGGTACGGTATAAATGTAATCATAATGAGCTGTCTGGAAGCTTGGTCATTATCCTCTTCATTCATTAAGAAGATATTACCGGGCCAGAATTCAAACATTGGAACTTTTTATAACATAGTTTAGAGGGCACATCAGAATATAAATGTATTTTGTTTAGCAAACCTCTGATGAAAGTATATGTATGTTTCAATGAATCCTTAAAAGACATATGTACAAAGTTGATATTTTGGCAAATGTGAATAATTGGCTATTATAGGGCAGGTGCAAAGGTTTGGGCATGTTTTTAAGGAAGAGTGAGAAAGATCATTCCAAAATCGAAACTCTTAGTTGGCTAAGGAAATCTTTGGAAGCTATTTTATTTTCTAGAAAGGTGTTACAAAACACTGCCTGAGACTATCTCCAAGTTTTGAACCTGCCATACAATATTCACTATTTTGTTTTTAAAAAATCTATAAGTACCTATTTAAATCTGTAAAAAAATTGTATTCATTTTGTACTATATAAAAGTTGTGCCAGCTTTTGTTCTCTTGGGGATTCATAAAAACAATACAATTTTACCGGAAATGCTGAAACATTTGCATACAACTGCAAAGTTTGCACTGCCTTATTTGCCAGTTGCCTTCCTATTTTTCTTATTTTTGTTTTGGAAAAAACTCTGAAGTAAACAACATTTTGAGCAATGAAATTGAGGGGGGAAAACCGTGACATCCTGTATGCCTCCTAGCTAGTAACCACATCAATGTTCAAGCAAGTATGGATTTGTGCCCCAGCACTATGGTTAGAAAAGTGTCCACAAATACTTTCAAGATGTCTGAGTCAAATCGGTAACTAAAGGAAAACATACCCTTTTGTCTCAGAAGTAAATACAAAGGCATTTTCTAAATGGCACAAATTTATGATTATTAAAATGTTGAGACTGCATCCCGGAGGCAACTTTTTCAGAAGAATTATCACTGTCTTGAACATGAACAGGTGAGGTGCAAGCTGTTGAATCACTTTGAGAAGGCAGGGCTGTTTTATAAAATGGACTCTCCTATTGGAATGTTTTCCCAGCCTAAATCCATATAAATATAAAGAAACATAAAAAAGGAAAATCAAAGGAAGTTGGCCATCAACTGTCAGGATTAAAACTGTTAGTAATCTGCATATGGTCTCCATGGCTGTATTTAAAAGACATCAGTTCTTTGTAAATGGTATGAATAATGGAACATTCTTCTTTGCTTCTTGCCCTCCCCTTCACCAGAGCCCAATACTCAGGCACAGATGCCAGGGGCCCAAGACACCTGCAGAAGATATCTTTGCCCTATTGAACAACTTATGTTTCAAAGGCTTCCATCTAGCTTCCATCTAGATTATCACCACAAACAAGAAAGTTGGAGACAACCAGGCACAGCCTGAAGGTGGTAATAAACACATCACCAGTTTGGAGTCACTATGCTCTCAAGAGAGACCCAAGTCAAGCCCCGTTGACTTCTATCTAGCACAATTTGCCTTGACTGCTAAAGGATCAGATTCTTGTGTAGCATGTAATAAACTTGAAGCGCTTTGAACTCACCTCCTCTTCCTGGTTTCTTGCACTGGACAAGGAGGTGACAATCATGTAGTGGTTGGCCTTCTTCAACCAGAAGAATAAAACATGAGCCAATTTCTCTTTTGGTCCATGTAAAATGAATCAATTGCCTACACCATAGCTGGAAGAATAGACCTACTGAATGGTGTCTTAGCATCAATAGGATACCAAACCTCCTCTTGTAAGTGGCCTCTCCTGCCTAGGCAGAAGGCTCTGGCAAGATAAATAATGGAATTACAGAGCGGTTGAGAGTAGGGGAACATTTCCTCCTTTACAGTTGGAGGTGACTGAAATATGAGAAATCTTTATGAAGAAAATTAGAAGTTTATCTTCCTGAGACCTGAAGAGAAAGAGCCAGAAAAAAATAGTACCCCATTTGGGCTTGTCAAAAACAGTTAATGAAGATAAGACATTGTCATTGGTAGTGTTCATAATAAACATCAAGCTACATTTTTGCTAGTTGAACTGAGTGGCATATGTGCTTGCTCTGGTCAGGACATAGTGATTGACTGGAAGTGTGATAAGAGTAAATTAAATGGGAAATTACAGTAATTTTCCAACAGGAACATCTTTAGTGCCTTCCTCTGAATTTATTCCATTTGCCTGAATTGTTCTTAAAGTGTAATGGCCAGAACTAGATACAATTCAAAGGATGGGTTTTGATTGACATATAGTAATATGGAACTATTATTTTCAATGATTTGACCGTGATGCTTCTGTAGATGGAGCCTAAAATTGCATGTTGTTTTCTTTTGTTTTTTACCAATCATATTACATTGCTAAATCAAAGTCAGTAAGGCTACACAGATTACTTTTGGGTTTTAAGGCTTTGGAGCATGACTGGTTTTAGAATAAGCTGAGTAGCCATTAGCCTAACCATTAGCCAAAACTTAAGGGCCACCATTCTGCTTCTTCTTCCAAGTCATTCTAAAAATGAAAAGCTTGGTGGAGGTGGTACCATCATTCAATGTAGTCTAGGGGATCCATATACTCTTGAGCTGGCTTTGGAGAATGGAGGGATATGAGGGTAGTATTCCTCTTCAACTCAGTTGCGTCTTTTTTCTGGGATCATGGGATCCTTGCAGACGGCAATTGCACAGTGCTTAACGGAATTGCTGATACTGCAATGTTTGCATTCTTATACACTCCAATTGCTTTTTTAATCTTTGAATCAGAGACTCTGTGGAGCCCTAATTTAATCTGTTATATGAATCAGTTTGATGTAATGGTCAACAGTACTGAGCTAGAAATTGGGAGACTGCAACTTCTACTCCTATCATGGCATGAAGTCAGATGTATGACTTTGGTTCAGTCATACACTCTTCTAGAAAGACAGAAATGGCAAATCACTTCCGAAAAAAACTTGCAAAAAAAAAAAAAAAACCTTGCATGGATTTGGACATGTTGTCACTGGGACAATTCAAAGGGACAAAACCATTTCTCCAAAGCAAAAATATATCAGTTTCAGGCAAAATTCACAGAACTTGTGAATAGTCTCAAATATATGTTTTATTGCTATTCAACTAATGTTATAAGAATCTCACCAGACTGACTGAGTTCTTTTAAGAATTTGGGGATATTGAAGTATTGCAGGCTAACTCTGCATTGCCATTGCCAGGAGTTTGATCCTGACTGGTTCAAGATTGATTCAGCCTTCCATCCTTCCAAGGTGGGTAAAATGAGGACCCAATTTGTTGGGTCAATATGCTGACTCTGTAAACTACTTACAGAATGCTGAAGCACTTTGAAGCATTATATAGCGCTATTGCTAATGTTATTCTCTTGGGAACAGCAAGATAAAACTTCAAGGATTCTGACCTGTGCTGCTTACTGCAATGAAATGACTCTAAACTCAGGCCCCTCTTGACCCCTCTCTCAAGTATAGCACAATCAGTTACCATCCAAAGTATCCCCTATCAATAACGCACCAAGCTGTATAAATTCCATTCTATTTCTGCCTGTTCAATTTTAGTTTCTGAAGTGAAGAACATTACATTTTTCATCATTACATTTCATTCTGTTATTTTCATTCCATTTATCTAACCTCTCACAATTATTTTAAATTTCGTTTGTACCTTCCATAGTATTAGTTATTCCAAATTCAAATAATATTCCCAATCTCTTTTGTCATTTAGGCCTGAAAGGATCCGTTTTTTGTTTTCATTTTCGTTGTCATGTATTTTGAGAGCCAGGAAAGTCTACAGAGAAGTCTGGCTGCCAGCAGCTGTTAGTTCAATTAATTCGCACTGTTGCCTTAACCAGGATACAGCACGAGGAAGATTCCCTGTATAAATGGGGTATAGTATCATCTCCTCAGTGTGACTGCAGGGTCTCCCATCAAACTGTAAATGACACTGTGACCAGCAGCTGTAAGCTAAGGTCATATACCAGTACAGTATCTTTTTTTAAAAAATATATAAACGTTGCTTGCTTCTATGGTTAGATGGCCTAGACATTGGTATTTGAACATAGATCTTTTTAACATTTATATTCTATTATATTTCTCTGATCTGGATGAAATGTTAATATATATTGCTAGTTCATGTATGAAATACCATACGCTAAATAAATAAATAAAGTTATTCAAATTCATTTTTGCGTCATTTACAGGCTGGGAGGCATTCAGCTCTTCATCTGGTTAGTGTGAATTTGAGAATAGCAGATTTTCTTTGCTTTACTTTTCCATAGGAAAGTTTGTTAGTAAGGCAATTTATAAACTTTCTGGAAGGACCATGCTCGGAAGAATTTGTCTTTTAACAGATACTGAAGTAATTAATTTGTATGGATGCATGTTTTTATGAAAATTCTGCAATTTGCCTTGAGAAAATACAGTACCTACATATTTTCCTTGGCAAGACAGTCAGTAGTAAACTCTGTATCTGTATTACTTTTATGTCATCAAGTTAATTCACTTGGATTTTTGAATAAGGAAATACTTGAAACATGATACTCTTACTATTGTTTCCATTCCTTTGGAACAAATTGTATCTTTTAGTTCTATACTCCAGGCATGTGAGTCATTTTAAGAGATCTCCATTATATGCATTATATCGTATTTGCCATCCTATATTCGAAGTTCACATTCATCTTGTTTATTACCTGCTTGCTGAGCATTAGTGTATAGAAAATAAACACTGGGAACTTTATGATCCAGTGGTTTTTCTGATTTTTCACTGAGTGATTTAAGAGACAACATTACATTCATAGGTCACCAAGGAACATTATATAGAGAGTCCAATAAAGTGGGCATGAAGTCATATATTGATAATTCTTTGTTCATATTTCTAATTTAAGCTCTTGGCAGATAGCATGCTTTTTAGGTTTTTAAGACTTATTGGTACATACTTCTTGTAGTTAGTTGCAGTAATGAGTCACAGTAATTTCTTCCTGCAGGGTGCAGATGCAGTTTTTTTAATGCCCTACAAGGCTCCGTTTCTTTTTCCATAGTATTTGTTTTTCCTTCCCTGAAAACTCAATACCTGTTTCTTCTTGGAAGTCCTAAAAACCAGTGACTTTTAGTGCCCTAGAGCAGGGCTGTCAAAGTCCCGGCCCACGGGCTGGATGCGTCACACGCTGGCCATGCCCACACCCGGTTTAGCGAAGGGAGAAAAAAGTCCCAATACATTACATGACAATGCCGCGATGACGTGAGTTTGACACCCCTGCCATAGAGTATCTTCTACATCTCTTGTTTTTGTTTGTCACTCTCACCCACTAGTCTTCCTTCCTTCCTTCTTTCCTTCCTTCCTTCCTTACCTTCCTTACCTTCCTTCCTTCCTTCTCTCCCTCCCTTCCCCCCTCTCACATTCATTAATTCATTCTTTTTTCATTCATTCATTCTTTTTTTCTTTTTTTTTTCCTTTTCGAGAGTTGCCTTCTCTGTCAATTTCTGTGGTAGTATCTTCTTTGCTGCAAATTTTGTGAAAAATTATTTTCAGGCAGAAATATGGAGTTGCTGCAAGCTCTTTAGGTCACAACTGTAGATTAATAATGTCTTTTTGTCTTCACTTTTGTTTCTTATGGGAGTTCTACCAATAGAAAAGCTTGTATTTCTTCTTGTTCCCTTCCTTGATTGTTAGGGTACACAGTGATCTTTATCAAATTGTGTAACTTCTAAGCTTTTGTTTGTATTCTGCAAAAGATAATCTTCACTACTCTGAGTATGTATTAGAAGTGGGAATCTATCCCAATTCCTTATGTAGAAGAACCTTCCAAACACTATCAGAAAACATAATTCCACAGCAGTCTTCAACAGATTTTTCTATCAGTTAGCAATATCAAATGCTGGAGTAGCATCTCTAAATATCTATGGAACTAAGTCTCTAATTTATTTCTGCACAGATAAATTTGTTTGGGATATATTTTTATTATGCTCACTTAATATCTCTCTTAGGGTAAATTGAAATGAAGTTAACTTTCTTCTTTCTTGTAAATATGGATGCTCTTGAATGTGAAAATGTGGATGAATTGACCTTATTTTCACCTTGGTGTAATATTAGAAAAGGAAGATACATGAGTAAGACCTTTTTCAGCAATGTCCACAAAAACATCAAAGTTTAGTCCTGAGGAAACCCTTGTTCTGAAAGCATTACTTCACATTTGAGTGGAGATACCTTCATTAGCATCACTTTCCTAAAGTAGATTCATGTACATCTTACGTTCTGAAATAGGGCATGACATTATAATGCACATATACAGTAGTACAAACTTGAGAGGAAGGACACATACACACACTCCCTGAGTCATGAATAAAAGTTTAATTCTCTTTCTGTACCTTCTGTGATCCTGGTAATTCTCTCTGCCTTAGAGACAAAGGGAGTGCGGGGAATAGATTGCTTTTTTTAATTAAAAATAATCCTGGATTAAATGTAAAGAAGCATTTAGAATATGTTGAGTTTAACCTTTCAATTTAACTATTTATGCCGAGGACATCTCATGCAAATTTATTATACTGTAAGTTATTTCAGATAGGACAAGG